ACCCCGCCCCCAGCCGCCGCCGGCGACGCCCCCGCCGAAGTACATGCTGGTGGCCATCCGGCGGGGGGTGCGGCTCCGCAGGACCGTCACCAACGACAGGTCGGCGCCCCGCATCTTGTGATGGTGCCCCCCTCCGCCTTCTGGCCCAGCGCGAGGCTGCCGCCCAGCCAGAGAGAGCAGAGCCAGGCCGGCGTTTTTTCCTCTCGAGTCACAAGGCAAAGCCACTTCGGGGAAAGAGACACCCCGCTAGGACTCGGCATTTACACAGACAGCAACTTCTCAGCGGACCTCGCTGCCCTGGAGCTGCGGGCCTGGACCTGGATGTGGGGCCTGTTTTATACTCTCCTTGCCTCCTCTGTCCCTCCACCTCCTCCCCGCAGGCCCTGCCTTCCCATCTCCGTGAGCCCCGCGCGGCTCCCCCGCCCGTGGCCTGGGCTGGGCTGGCGGAGCCACAGCCGAGCTGACCTGGCCAGCAGTGCCTCGGGCCTTTCCGAACTGAGCCCCTCCCCTCCCCTGCCCTGCCCTGCCCTGCCTCGCCATCAGGGAGGCTGTAGGGGCCAGGTGCCCAAGTAGCTAAGGTAGCAGATGTGACTGAAAAGGTGAGCTGAGTGGCTGGTGGTCTCGGGGGCAAGTGAAGTTGGGGGGCCAGCCCCCATGGGGGCAAGGGGCTAGGGCCCAAGACTCCGGGAGGAAATGCAGGGAGCCCGCCTGGAGGGGCTGCGGGGGTCTGGGGGGCAGGGAAGGAGTCAGAGGCTCTGGGCGATGGGGCACGTCAGGACTAATGCGGGTGGCACTGCTCACAGCTGCGGGCACCTTTGGGGGTGACCGTGAGTACAATAAAGTGGAGCTGACTGGACAAGGACTGTGTGTGGGGACAGGGTGGACGATACAGGGTGTGTCCAAGAGTGCCTGAGGGACGGGCCAGTGGCCTGGGGGGCCGTGGCAGGAGGAGGACCGATCGGCTCCCCCAAAGCCAAGGGAGAGCTATTCTCTCCAGCCTGGAGCCCAGTCGGGCGTCCACTGGTCGGGGTGGGGTCCTCTGGCCGGGCCGGGCCGAGGGACGTCCGGGAAGACTGGCTTTGACTCTCTGTTGCCAGAGGAGACGCCAGCCCAGGACGCATCCCTCACCCTCCGTGCACCAGGTTGTGCCAACGCCAAGGCAAACGCAGGTGCCTCCGGCAGGAGGGCCCCGAGGCCCGCAGAGCTGGGCGCGGTGCAGGGCCACACGGGCCTCCGGGGTAGGTCAGCGTCACCTGGTCCGGAGGGCGGGGCTGGTCGGAGTCTCCCAGCCGGAGGTCTTGGCGGTTCTGTGCTGGGATCCAGGTGGGGCCGGGAACCAAGGGCACCTCCGAGTGGACGGAGCCCCGGCTCCGGGGACGGTGGAGAAGGTACCTGTAAGTCGCTAGGTCAGCACAAGCTTGCTGAGGGCCCGGCCCCTGAAGGGCCCGGGGTGAAGGGGGCCCGAGGACCGGAGAGCAGGCGGCCAGTCTGGGCGGCCCTCCCTCAGCTGTGTCAGGCTCGGCCTGGGAGTGGGATACAGGATGTGTGAGGGGAGCAGGGTGCGGAGCAGTGGGCGTGGCCCGGTCCTTGTGCCCCTAGAGCAGCGGTTCTCAGCCTGTGGGTCACGACCCCTTTGGGGATCCAACGACCCTTTCACAGGGGTCGCCTAAGACCGTCCTGCATATCAGATATTTACAAGAGGATTCATAACAGTAGCAACATGACAGTGATGAAGGAG